GTTTATTTGGGTCTGATCTGGCCATAGTCTGGACAGAGGAACAATGGCATTCCTGTGCTCAGAGCTCCAGGTGGCTGGGAAACCGAATCCCAAACCAAGCCCCACTGGCACACAGGGTCCCGAGAGCACCGAATGCTGTTGCCTCCCACCAAAGACATGGGCCAGAATAGAGCTATTGTTCCAGGGCCACTTCAGGCCAATAGAAACCAAAACCATGCTCCATGATAAACTGAGAATATATAAAAGATTGACAGTTTTTCATGACATACTGAAGTAACTTTAAGAGCACAAATGCATCTTAAAGGCATGCATAACAAATAAAGATCAAATTCCTGATAAAATGTATGCAAACCAACCATTTTAAAACAATGCAACCACTGACTCACACCTATATATGAGCAACAAACCATTTGTGAGACACCGAAAGACGCCCAGACTTTCACATCCTGTATATTTGACACTTTCATAATCTAAACCGCTCAAAAGAGAAAAAAAAAAAAAGACATTATAAAAGATAACAAAACTCTTCAATCCATCATGACATCTGGACATACAAACACCAAACGTGTGCTTTGGCCTGACCGCAAAGTTAACAAAAAGGGAAGGAAACAAATCTAGCAACTTAACTCAACGGCCTTGAAACGGGGAACATGATTCATTTCCTTTCAATGCCTGACAGTCATGCTTTACCACGGTGCTGAGCTCACTCGTAGGGCCTTGAGGTACGTTTGTCACACAGTCAGGACAAATGCATGCCTGTTTCACCTGAATGTCATACGCCACATTTAACTGAGAAAAACCAATTCTGCTCGACTATACTGACCTGCTTAGTTAAGGATATTTTTATACTGTTTAGCATTTCCCTGCACATCTTCATGTTCAGAACAATATTTCTAAACCTCCGCTCTTGGGCTGCAAGATGTATTGCAAATTATCACCATTTCACAGTACACAATACAGATACTACGAGGAACTGACTCTAATGTATCATAAATTCAGACTTTATCTGCAATATATTTTATAGCAGTATATAAAGTGGGGGTAGTGTTTGCCCCTTTCTGACTTCTTATTTGTTTTGGCATGTGTGTCATAGTTAAAACGGTTAAGAACATAACATAAATGTAAATAGTAATTAGTAAACACAACATGCAGTTTTTAATACGAAGGAAAAATAAAAATCCAAACATACATGTCCTGCATGAAGAACACCACACTACATGTATGAGTAAAACAACATTGTTTCAACTTTCAATGCCTCTTAGGGTAATTCACAAGTGACAGTAATTTATTTTCAATAGTTGTTCACAATCTTTCGATTGTGGTGATATTTATGGACCAAATCATAGCATTTTATTTGATGTTTATATTTTAAAACTGTTGCTCACTCTCGACGATTTCTGCATGGAACAGAACTGTCCAAAAACAGTCACAAACTTCCCTATTTGTCTGGAACATTTAGAGGGATGTTGATGCCAAAATGATGTTAGTGTGGCCAGGAGGGACTGTTTGGACTTTGCAGATGCATCAAGGAAAAACTAACTTTTAAGCTCATTGTCCATCATGAGAGGGAGACTAGGAAAAATGTCCATTATGGTAAAGTTTCATGCCGAAACCAATGTTTAGGCAAAATAACATTTAGGATAACATCAATTTCTAAGAACACATATGGATAATCCCCAAATCCTTTGGGAAAATATTCTATATTGACAGGACAAAACCGTAACACTGCATTTTAGAAAAAGATTCTACCATCTGTAAATTATTGTGGTGGTATTGTGATGGTTGGGGGCTGCTTTGCTCCTTCAGGGCCTGGAAGACCAGCTGTGATAAATTGATCTGTGAATTCTGCTGTCCACCATAAAACAAAAACAACAAAAAAACTCCTAAGGTCAAGCTAGCTGCTTGTGACCTCAGACAAACCTGGATTCTGCAGCAGGAAAGTTATCCACAGAAACACCATAGATTCCACCTCATAATGGATAAAAAACTAAATCCAAATTAGGACTTTGGAGTGGCCTAGACAAAGTCCTAACCTAAATGCCATTGAAATGCCGTAGAGTGGCCAAAAAAGGCCTTGTGTTCCACAACTTACCATTATGGCTTAATTACAACAATTCTGCAAAGATGAGATTGGGTCAAAACTTCTCCACTTCTATGGAAAAGACCCACTCCACTTTAGAAGTAAATCAAGTTTGTTGAATGCGACTGTTGCTGCAAAAAGGGAGCCTATGCTAGAATTTAGGGGGCAATCATTTTTTTCACACAGGGCTTGCATTTTTTCCTACACTTTGTGATTACTATTTTTTTTTTATCTTTAACTAATATTTACAATTATTGGATTTTCTGAAACAGTGTGACATGCAAACAAAAAAATTAATCACACCACATTTATGTACACACCACTGTACATAAATTCCCAGCCAACACTGTACGATATTTTCAATTGTAGCACGCAGCTACAGCTCAAACTGTATGTCGAAGCCGCAGTGATTAAAAGTTCACCGCTCACATTGTATTTTTTCACACTGTACGGCCCGTCGCTCTGATGCAATCTATCTGCATGCAATGTAACGTTGGACTCAGCGATGAGAGATTGCTCAGATCAGACTCAAAAATCTGGGAGAAGAAGACCTTTGTTGTTTGCACATGCGCAGCGCTCGAAGTTCTGGTAAATCGGCTCGTAACTCTGCTTCTACAAATTATATTATACAGATACTGATTTGTCAACAAACATCTTACGAGTGCCAACTGGATTTAAAACATTTGATTTTCTCCCGATCTTACGATTCCTGATCGGGAGGCGGTCGTAAGAGGCTGATCCTCCCTCGTTACCCCCTGTATACTACATGACGCAGGACGCACAATGAGGCTGAAACTTGGCCCGATCCAAAGAATTCTCGCACGACTGGAAAATCGGCCCAAATAGGGCAAAAAATCGTACAGTGTATGCCCATCTTAACATAAGCTTGGACCAAGTTTATCTACAATCAGCCCAAGCCTGCTTTGTACTTTACACTCAGCTGAGGCTAAATTAAGGATTTATTTTGGAAGGAACTGAACACAATGCAGCCGGTTATGATGACACTTCAATAATATTTACAAGTGTTCAGTTATCAAACGAACAAACTACTTTGTTTATGAGTTTTGTTCATGCCCCTTAGTAACTGTAAGCACAAAGACAACATTTTATTACAACTATTATCAACAAGGTAGATCAAAACAGAGAGGCCTCAAATTAACATTACACTTAAACCACAGTGACACACTGTCCAAATATTTTGGTTCCTCTAGGCAGTGAGTTAAATTTCCCTTTTTATGTGAGGGCAGTTAGAACATTTGAATGTTTAATGTTTTTTTTTTTTTTTTTTTAAATCCAACTGAACTTTATACTGGAGTGAGATAGAAACACTAAAGATAAACTTTAGTGTTGCACCGATACCAGTATCGGGCAGGGCCTTGAATCAGCACTACAATAGTGGTATCGGTATCAGTACCAACAAATAGGGCATCGATACCATTTTTCAATATACTGTCTATAGAGATTAAAAATGTACTTTTATTTTACTAAAATATTCACATTTGACTTATTTTACAATTTTTTTTATCGTAATCAGTTAAAGGTTAAGGATATTCTTTCAGAAATGGCAATTATCTTGGGAGTCTTCATTTTTCCCCTGTTGGAATCAAAACTGCTGTTTCTAGTAAATAATTATTAGCATATGGTTTCTTTTATGAGATTAAGTCCCAAGGGAAATAAATGGAATCGGTCAAAATCAGAATAAGAAATCATTTGGGTTTAAGAACAGTTTAAAGCGTTCCTTGTACTCTACAGTTACAAATAGAGGGCTTTGGGATTACAAAAACTTGTAAGTATAAAGTGCATTTTTTTAACTTAAAGTCGGAAGCGGATTTAATAAAAATGAATTTGCAGATACATAGTTGGGCCAGATCTTTCATATTTCTGTTGAGATATTAAATTTGGACCTTTATAAACAAAGGTTGATAGCTGAGGGAACAAAAAAAAAATGTAAAAATATGTTCATCTGTTTATCTCCCCTCAGGAGGCATGAAAGGGTTAGAAAAATGTATTTCCTCTCAATAATATCCTCATTCTCTGCCCTGCATTCCTGACTCTTCTTGGATTGATGTTAAATCCTTTTTTCTTATCTCTGAAGATAATAACACCATTGTTGATGCATGCTCACTTGAGCGCAACCCTTCATTATAAACATTCCCTGACATCTCAGGCTCTAAAAGCTTAACTCATCTGCAATAAAACGTCTTCAAGTTATTCATAACCTTTAAATGCGATAAGCTGGTCACATTTCTATTCATTTCCCCCCCTTTTTGTGACTGATCGGACCTCTAACCGACACGTGAGCTAACAATCGGAGGTTAAACTCTTGTTTAGGGCTCATCTTCTCAGCCTGTAATGCAACACCCAAGCTCTAATGTTTCATAGGGAGGAAAAAAGAGAGGAAACGACCACCAGGAATACTGCGAACACACGTTCTCCATTGCAGAAAGCGTGACGGTCAACTTTGAACAGCTCCTTTACACACATTGAGAGGACTGGGTATCGGTTAACTGTTACAGCTATCTGAATAAACTGTTATTTAACCCAACTGCGGTGATATGCGGCAAATGTGTAAATATTTTTTACCCTGACAGTTGCCCATTCGCCATAAATCAGCACTCAAGGTTGAAAAAGAAACATTGGATTGAATAAAAATGTCTGAGGATTTGTGTTTTTTTTAACAAAAACCTTGCACACGTGAGCTCGCAAAAAAAGCAAGTGTGAGCTTAGAGATGAACGATGAATCGCATCCCATCCTCGCTGCTTCTGTCAACAAGAACCCGGAGCCAGCCGAGGCACCAGGCTGCTTCTAGATACCGTTAGAAGCTCGCTGGCCAGCGGCGAAACCAGCGGTGCTTATATACGGGTTCAGAAAAAAATTAAATAAATAAACAGTATTACAGAACATGCTTCTTTCACTTACCTGTCCTGATAGGTCACGTCAATCTGCCGCCGTGGCGCAAAAAGACCGCAGGCTAGCTCCGAGGCAGAAAACTGACGTTGATACAAAGTCTCACCGCTAAGTTAGCGGGCTAGCTAGCTTAGCGAGCTAACGCTGTGGGGAGAGCGGCTCCCTGCAAACGTTTCAGACGAACCGGGTACCTAAAAAAAGAGGAAGTTCGCCCGTTTCTGTTTTTTCTTCTCCAAAATTAACACCACCCGGCCTCAAACAGCGTTACATCTGAATATATCCATTTACGAAAAGCGAGAATCTAAGAGTGGGTTTGAGTCTCGTGCGCCCTGAGCGCTGCTGCCTGTCTCCTATGCGGCTGTCTGTGTGACTGAGAGGCAGGAGCCCCGACCGGCTGGCTGGCTGCTGATGTGCTCAGCAAACACTGGCAGCATCTCCTCGCTCATCCCTCCCTGGATTTCCTCAACCCGGAAGAAATACTACAATTGATTCCATCCTCATAAATGTGATACCGCAACGATTTATCTAATGTATGCTTTAGTTACATAATAGTAGTGAGGAGGCTAGAAATGAAATGTACTGTATCCGACAACACTTATCAGATCAATGGATAAGTCTTTAAAACATTAGAGTTGGAAGTACCCCATACAAACACAAATAATAATAATAATAATAATAATAATAAAAAAATTATTATTATTTTTTGTTTGTTTATTTAGTTCAGTGCGAAAATG